TGAGAAAAACAACTGGAAAGCATCAGGCTGCAGCCTTGTTGATAGTGTGTGGAGATCCGTTGTTGGAACGCCCTGTTTACCCAAACATTTCTTTCAACATTATGCTAAGTTGACACATGGGTTAGACCATGTATCAAAAGGGGGAATGATTGCACAGATGAAAGAATTGTGGTTTACCAAGGGCTTCACAATATTCGCTGAGAATTTTTTGCAAAAGATGTGTTATCTGTAATACACACAATGTGGCACGAGGCATCAAAACGCAGCTGGTATCCCAACCGGCCCCAGAAGGGCCGTTTGAGTACTTAATGATCGATTTCATTGAATTAACCCCTTGTGGGAAACAGAAATATTGTTTAGTGATGGTTGACATGTGGTCCAAATGGGTCGAGGCCTTCCCAACATCAAAACAAGACGCGGCAGCAGTAGCAAAGGCTCTGCTAACAGAGATTGTTCCGAGATGGGGAATCCCAAGAAAAATCAGTCTGACAATGGAACACATTTTGTCAATGAGGCAATAAAACAGGTGGGTCAGTTCTTAGGAATTGATATGAGAACACATTGCGCCTATCACGCCGCCAGCGGAGGCGCTATAGAACGGGAAAATCAGACAGTAAAGAACAAATTGGCAAAGTGTTGTGAGGAAACCGGACTCTCATGGGTGAAAGCACTCCCAACCGTGTTAATGTATATGAGAATGAGAAAGAGAGTCAAAACAAATTTAAGCCCATTCGAAATTCTCTTTGGTAGACCACCATTCATGGGAATAGAGGGGGGAAAACGCAGGCTTCCATCAACGGGAAAATGAAATAATGAAATGTTGAATTACTGCAAAGAAATGTCTTGTCTGTTATCCAACATTTCTGTGCAGGTGAAAGCTGAAGGTTGCTGAGATGCTGAGACGTTTCTGCATAAGATCAGGCCGGGGGATTACGTGGTAATTCGTGACCTGAGGAGGAAGAACTGGAAGGCGAAACGGTGGCGAGGGCCATTCCAAGTTTTGCTGATAACACACACGGCGGTGAAGGTCGGAGAGAGAGCTACGTGGGTGCACGCCAGCCACTGCAGGAGAGTTCCGCCCATATCGGAAGGGCAACAGGAGGAGGAGTCTCAGCAGCAACAACAACAACAAGTTCAACAATAAGCCCCAAGATCAAGCCCAAACACCAAGTGCAAGAGCAAGGTCATTCAGGAGGAGTGATAAGGCCGGTGTGCAGAGTAAAACCATTTGTGCAGCCACAACCAGAGACATTGATCATTGCAAAGAGCTGAAATCACTAGACAAGATGGATCGTTCAAGACCGTGGTACCCATTCAAACTGCCAGGAATGTGTAGACTTTGTAAGACTACATTCATTTTGACTTTGATATCAGTGACTTTTTGTTTGATAATTTTGTGCTTCATTGAGAGCTTGAAAGAATGGTCTGCGGAAAAACACACCAACTGGACTGAAACATCCGTGCTAAACAGCATCATCAAACAACGCACAAAAAGAGACACATTCACGGAAGTGGAGCCGGTGAGAGGACTGTACGAAAACACCATCACAATAGAGGAGGGATCAAATGTGACTTTCAAGTGCAACCCATTCCAGAAGAACTGTCTCGGGTGCGATGGACATACTGAGGAGTACGCACCTTTCCACATCTGCGAAAGCCCATGTAAATGGACCGACGTGAAAGCATACGCTTATAACTACAAGTCAGGATACGATGAAAGATTTCGGGTGCACGCTGAAGACAAACTGAGTAACAACAGGTATGGGATGAGAGTGGAATTGAAACATGCAACACGTGCTGACCAAGGCAGGTATTACTGTGCCCTGGACTTGACTGGGACTGACTGGTATGAGACAATAGACATTATGGTAGTCAAGGCAGCCAGACCATGGACCGCAACGACGATGACACCTTTCTTGTCACCTGTGTCACCTGAGGTCGAACAAGCTACTGAAGAGGAACTGGCCTGGATGGGGAATGGAGACACAAGCAAAGGTCAGGTAAATCCTGAAGTACAGAAAGCCATGATGAAATGCCAGGGGAACAAAGCCTGCGCGCTGGCAATACTGCAGAAAGAGGAACTGAAGATCAAAACGAGCTGCTGGATGTGTCTGCAAATGTCTCATGCCTGGAAAACTGTCCCTCTGACGGCAGCAACAGCCAACGAAACTAAGTGTCTTATTCCTCAACAAATGACTGATGTGCTAAAAACTGTTGTGGACCTGGAGGAAGGAAGGACACCAACGAAACAGCCTGCTGACGACTGTGACCACATACAGCAATACAACAACACTGATATAGCAATTCCACCTTTGAGGGTAACATATGCCCAGGGTGATGTTTGTGTCTGTTTCAACAGACCGAGAATGTTAAAGACCGGATGGTCTGACTGCAGGATCAAAATCAACGTACAGGACGGAACAATGAGCAATTGTACAGCAATCATCAACAACAAAGAAATCAACTTCACATGTCCATTCCACAAACCGAACGAAAGTTCACCAGCCGTGGTGTGGGTGTGTGGTGACAGAGCTACTCACTGTTTGCCTAAAAAAGACTGGTCAGGTTGCTGTTATCCAGCTTTGATGAATGTGAGGACTTCTGTGTATTTACCAAGCAAAGTAGGTAAGAGGGAGAGACGAGACATTAAGATTTTGCCTGGGGCTTTGCCAAATCATTATGCGGGGTACACACTAACTGATCCGTGGACGACACCAGGAGCAAATATAGGTTGGTCCATTTTCTTAGGGGTGGGTACAGCAGTAACGATTAACAAGATTAATGGGTTAGCATGGACGGTATTAGCAATGGCCAATAGCACAGAAAATGCTTTGACATTGATAAGTGATGAAATGAGGCAACTGAGGGACTCAGTCATTCAAAACTGTTTAGTTCTTGATATGCTTATGGGCGAAAGGGGCGGAGTGTGTAAGATGCTGGGGATATCTTGTTGTTTTAACATTCTTGATTACTGTGATAATATAAGAGAACCTGAGCGGACTGACAACAACCTGTGGACCGGGTGGGTTATGTCTTTGTGGGGAGGATGGATGTACTGGATAATTCAAACTGTTCTGCCAATTGTAATGATAGGAATTCTGATTCTGTTTTGTTTGCCATGCATTATGAGGTGTATTTCCAGCTCAGTACAGAGATTGGTCAGGGCTGGGACGCCCATACAAGCAGTAAAACTGACCGCTTATCCGATGATTATGAGAGTGACGAGAGTGATGACATTTACACAGAAATGTGAAGAATGATCAGATATACGAAAGTCAGACATGAGGAGTATAACTGTGATGAAATGACTTGAAACAATTATAATCATGTATGAGTATGAGAGTGGAATTGAAACATGCAACACGTGCTGACCAAGGCAGGTATTACTGTGCCCTGGACTTGACTGGGACTGACTGGTATGAGACAATAGACATTATGGTAGTCAAGGCAGCCAGACCATGGACAGCAACGATGATGACACCTTTCTTGTCACCTGTGTCACCTGAGGTCGAACAAGCTACTGAAGAGGAACTGGCCTGGATGGGGGATGGAGACACAATCAAAGGTCAGGTAAATCCTGAAGTACAGAAAGCCATGATGAAATGCCAGGGGAACAAAGCCTGCGCGCTGGCAATACTGCAGAAAGAGGAACTGAAGATCAAAACGAGCTGCTGGATGTGTCTGCAAATGTCTCATGCCTGGAAAACTGTCCCTCTGACGGCAGCAACAGCCAACGAAACTAAGTGTCTTATTCCTCAACAAATGACTGATGTGCTAAAAACTGTTGTGGACCTGGAGGAAGGAAGGACACCAACGAAACAGCCTGCTGACGACTGTGACCACATACAGCAATACAACAACACTGATATAGCAATTCCACCTTTGAGGGTAACATATGCCCAGGGTGATGTTTGTGTCTGTTCCGAGAATCCGAGAATGTTAAAGACCGGATGGTCTGACTGCAGGATCAAAATCAACGTACAGGACGGAACAATGAGCAGCAATCATCAAACCATCAACAACAAAGAAATCAACTTCACATGTCCATTTCACAAACCGAACGAAAGTTCACCAGCCGCGGTGTGGGTGTGTGGTGACAGAGCTTATCACCGTTTGCCAAAAAAAGACTGGTCAGGTTGCTGTTATCCAGCTTTGATGAATGTGGGAACTTCTGTGTATTTACCAAGCAAAGTAGGTAAGAGGGAGAGACGAGACATTAAGATTTTGCCTGGGGCTTTGCCAAATCATTATGCGGGGTACACACTAACTGATCCGTGGACGACACCAGGAGCAAATATAGGTTGGTCCATTTTCTTAGGGGTGGGTACAGCAGTAACGATTAACAAGATTAATGGGTTAGCATGGACGGTATTAGCAATGGCCAATAGCACAGAAAATGCTTTGACATTAATAAGTGATGAAATGAGGCAACTGAGGGACGCAGTCATTCAAAACCGTTTAGTTCTTGATATGCTTACGGCAGAAAGGGGCGGAGTGTGTAAGATGCTGGGGATATCTTGTTGTTTTAACATTCTTGATTACTGTGATAATATAAGAGAACCTGAGCGGACTGACAACCTGTGGGCCGGGTGGGTTATGTCTTTGTGGGGAGGATGGATGTACTGGATAATTCAAACTGTTCTGCCAATTGTAATGATAGGAATGCTGATTCTGTTTTGTTTGCCATGAATTATGAGGTGTATTTCCAGCTCAGTACAGAGATTGGTCAGGGCTGGGACGCCCATACAAGCAGTAAAACTGACCGCTTATCCGATAGATAGTGAATACAAATGTGATGATTATGAGAGTGACGAGAGTGATGACATTTACACAGAAATGTGAAGAATGATCAGGTATACGAAAGTCAGACATGAGGAGTATAACTGTGATGAAATGACTTGAAACAATTATAATCATGTATGAGTTTGCTTAGAATTAGAAACAAGCGGGTTTTTAAGTTGTTATAATCAAACCTAATGCTCTCAATATGTATATCACCTGGAATGCAACAAAGACATCACACAGTAAAACAGAGAGCCTTTGAAGTCTTTAGTGCGGGTAATTTAATCAGGAAAGACAGAGGGGTTAGTACTTTTGGCCTCATGGGTGTGAAGGCACACAATCACACAGTAAAAACAAATGATCAGAAAGAGCCTTTGAATTCTTTAGTGCAGGAAAGACAGAAGGGTTGTTGACCTCACAGATGTGAAGATAATAAAAGCCCAGGGGGTTAGAAGGACCATTGTTTTTTCTGAAAACAGCTAGGTTTGGTTTAAGGAAAACTTGCAAGAAGTGGGGGTGATAACAGTATAATAAGGCTGTCTGCTTTGAGTGTGATTTCAGGTCTGTTGTGTTTGAGGGTAGCTGCTGAAACATTATGAACATACCTCTTTAAGGAAAATAAACTTCTTTCCTTAAATATAATTTGATTCCTTGCACTGTGATGCTATTTTGTTAATAATTGTTTTTGCCACAACAGTCCACAAACAGGATCCTCACATAAGTCCCTGTTTTGTCCAGATGTTGCAGGATGAAGTGCAGTCCCATACTGACTGCATCATCCACGGACCTGTTTGCTCGGTAAGCAAACTGCAGGGGGTCTAGTAAGGGTCCAGTACTGTCCTTCAGATAAGCCAATACCAACCTCTCAAATGTCTTCATGACCACAGACGTTAGGGCCACAGGTCTGTACAGCTGAAAGCCCGGGAGACTCAACGCGCTGTCCGGAATGGCGTCATTCAGCCAGGTTTCCGTGAAACACATAGCAGCAGAGTGTGAAAAATCCTTTTTTGTCCGGGAGAGCAGAAGAAGTTTGTCCGTTTTGTTGGGTAGAGAGCGGAGATTCGCCATATGGATGCTCGGCAACGGCGTTCTGAATCCGTGCTTCCTAAGCTTCACGAGCACGCCGGCTCTCTTCCCCCGTCTGCATGTCCTGAAGCACTTGATAAGCGCAGCAACTCCGCCGACTACAACGTTCAGCAAAACGTCCGAATAAACGAAATCCGGTAGAAGATTGTGTGGTGTGTTCTGCCGAATGTTCAGCAGCTCATCCCTGGTAAAACTGATCGTGTTTGAGAAACAAAAAACAACTAACTAAAACAGTACAAACACTGGAGAGCCAAACACTGAGGCTGCCGTTGTTGTGGATTTTTCTTGGGTGCGGCCAATGAAGTGGAGAAGCAGAGTTCCAGATGTCAAAATAAGACTTTATTTAACAAAGAAACAAAGCCGGGAAGACAGTCACAGCATTCCAAATCATTCCAAATCAAGTCTTTGTTTGTCAGCTCATATTATATACCCTTTGTTCTCTCCAAATTTGGTCATTTTCTGTTTTTTCTTTGTTCCGGTTATTTTTTATTGGTTAAAGATACATGATTTGCCACAATTGTTTCCAACCCTTTTGGCCTTGTTTTTTAATGGTGGAATGTGGTCCGATCAGCCATTAAAAAAAAAGAAGCTTTTATTTCATTGGTTGGTAGTGGTCACATGAGGAGGTGTGCGTCAAATCCATCCACCTGCTCCTGATAATATTAGATTATTTCAAGTTCATGTTTACTGTCTAATGAAAGGTCCACTGTCTAATGAAAAGACCATTATACGTGTTCCTAATAATATTAGATTATTTCAAGTTCACAGGTGTACTGTCTAATGAAAGGTCCACTGTCTAATGAAAAGACCATTATACGTTCATCATTCCCCATCACTACATCCAGAGTTAACATAATTCAGCATATTAATTTATATACTGATTACTTTCATTTTCACATAACGTTCAATAAAATTACGCAATACCGTCTGCGGCGCCATCGCATGTATTTCAATGATGAAAAACATTGAAGAAAATGATGTGTCCAAGAAAATGGTTGCTGACTTGACGCGCCTCATGCAGTCACGTATGCACTAATGGGGAATTTCTCTCACTACTTTCCCCAGGAGAAGTTCAATGAATTAAAAGACAAGCGGTGGCTGAAAAATCCCTTTGACTTTGAAACTCCAGATTCAATTGCTGGACTGAATTTATCTCCTTCTGAAGAATCAGAAATACTGCAGCTAACCTGTGACAGCATGTTGAAAACTCGTCACAAAACAAAAAAATTGTCTTTGTTCTGGATCCGTTGCTGAGCAAAGCAAGCATTTCATTGCTACTACCTTTTAAAACTACCTATATGTGTGAAACTGGATTCTCCTATATGTGTAAAGGTTTGAATTCATTCATCCAGTTTTCTGTACTCGTATCACCAAAACTATTCGCAGTTGATTACCCAGCTTGTTGTCCCTCGCAAGCACTTTTTGGGTGATTGAACTCGGCACTCAAGCCAAGCCTCGGGTTCAAGACTCCATTAAGGACAGCAAGCCAAGTTCGTTTACCATTAACCATCAGGACTGGATGGCCAGGCGAACTCGTGAATCAGTATTTTAATGGGCAGATGATTACAGCATTTCACTAGATTTGTAGTGAGACACGTTTTTGTAAGCCTTTTTTCACTGAAGCTGTTTTCCATCAAAATAAAAGCTGTACTGCAGTTTCCATCAAAATAAAAGCTTAAAGGTGCAGTATGTAATACTGACAGCTAGCGGTTTAAATGGGTACTGTAGTCCAAATTCAAAATATCTCTTTCAAGTGTATAAATTTCTCCACTGTAAAGCAAAATGATATACCTGTGAAATATTCATTTTCAATTAATTTACAATGCAATTGTTTTACAATACTGTCATAGGAATAATAATAATGTAGTATACATGCCAGACCAGTGTGTAGCACTGTAATTCTGCCACAGAGATACACTAAAACAAAGAATCTTACATAAATCTTACATTTTACATTTACATTTAGTCATTTAGCAGACGCTTTTATCCAAAGCGACTTACAAATGAGGACAATAAAAGCAGTCAAAACTAACAAAAGAGCAACAATATATAAGTGGAAATGACAAGTCTCGGTTAGCCTAACGCAGTACACGTAGCAAGGTGT